AAGGAATAATAATAATAATAAGAATAATTGTATTGACTCTATACAGACTATCAGATTCAGCGGCACTCAAGAGGTGCGTCAATCATAACAAATAACTTAAATGAAAACAACTTAACTAGAAAATATACATTAAAAGGCACGTGCCGTAAGCTGGCCGAATTTTTTGTCTACTTTTTGACTAAAAAAATATAAAATAGGGCCACGCCAAGCCAACACGTCTGTCACAGTCTGAGAGTGTCATTTCTGGCTATCCAGAGGTTCCTATTCTTAAAACAATCTCATTGTGGAAGGGGAACACCCTCTCAAACCCTTCCCCCAGCTCTTGCCTATGAGTTCAAGTCCCCCTGTCGCAGCTCAGTCGCCACTCCCCCCCCCGAAAATATATCCTAGAGCCGCCACTGAATCGGAGATAATAATAATAATAATAATAGTGTAGTTATATATAGCGCACATATCCATCAAATGTAAGATGCTCAGGGCGCTTGAAATCGTCGCTCACATCATGAACTAACACAATCAGAGTAGATTTTCTTAGTTCGTGAAATCACAGTAGCGCGTCACTCAAATCGAGCGCGTATTGGTTGTCAAGCAATTTTGTATTCTTTACCACACAAAAAGTCCTTAACGACAACAGCGCGTATTTTGACGCGCTTTTTTTATTTCACGAACTAACACAATTGAATTTAATTGTGTTAGTTCGTGATGTGAGCGACGAAATGTGGAATAGGAACTCGATCAATAACTTTCTTCGCCCCTAAGGGTCCCTTTGTGTCTGTGCTACCCGGTAATCCGGTACCAGCAACTCTCGTCGTCCACCACAGGGGCTGTCTGTTCCAGTATGTACACCGGGGCATCCGCCTACTCTACTCGTCTCGAAGGATGTACTGGGTTCTTTATAGTGCACACGAGCCATTGTATACACTGGGCCTACGGTTTATAGTCCTTATCCGAGAAGACTTGTTCTACCACCAGAACCGTAGGCGAGCGTGCCGTTCGAACCAGCGCCGATATTATTATGGCTATAGCTTGCGGCGCCCCTGCTAACCGCTCGGCCATTTGACTCACCATCGAGATAATCGATCTCGACCATTCTAAATTCAATATCAAATAGGCATAATCCACATTTCCACCCTAACCAGGCACCATGGCCGGAAAGGACACGGTGACCAGAAAGTTGTTGGGGCCCCATCATGCATTTTAGTAGTCAACGATTACGAGGTTCCCTTTCCCCAGCCCTTTCACTCTGGGGAATATCAGAATCTGATACATGCCAAGTTCTACTAAGTTGCAGACGTGAGACTTTTGTTGTAAAAGCCCCTCCCCTTGTGGCATGGGCATCCCCACCCCCGGGAATGTTTTTCCCTAGATACCCGGAAATGCATTCTTTGCTACTTTATTTGTGTATTTATTTGTTTATATTTTAATTTGTATTTATTTGTGTATATTATATTTTGTGTATTTTTACAATTGAAATTCTGTTAGGGGTCCGCATTTTTCTTGAGAATGCTTTCTTCGTCCACAATCGAACCATCAGACCTGTCCAACTGGACACGAGCCGTGCGCGTGGTGGCTGGCAGTGTGTTCTTTGATCCTATTGATGCACTAGTTGATCTGATCGAAAAGCTATTAAGAGAAATATTAAAATTTTTACCGACCCTTATCAGAATTTATCAACTAAAGAGTAGGCCTACATGATACATACCATAAAAAAAGTGAAATTATACTGTAATAATGAAAGAGATATCAGAAACAAAAAAAAAAAAAGATTATTTCTAAACATTTTCAGTTCTAGCCGTGCTTGTTAAAGATCCATGTTGTAAATTTTGCCGTTTTAAATATTTTTTAAAGACAGATCAAACAAATGTGCCGGTTCGTCGGTTGTTGTTAACAACTTGATTGAAGGTTCTGAGAAATTTTTATCTGGCCAGGCATGAAAAACTGTAGGCCTAACAGGCCTACACGTGCAACGTGCCTGGCCCGCGATGTTAGGCCTATTATGGTAATCCGATATAAGCAGCTCTATTCGATTGAATGAAAGGGTTACTTAATGAAAAGCCAACACAACTTAACCCTGTGTAGGGCACCCACGGGTGCCAGGATTTTCCAGGAGGGTCCAAAGTCCCCGACCGGGGGGGGGGGGCGAAGTCCCCGACGAGAGCAAAGTGGGCGTGGTCAGACGTCGCTCAAAATGTTTCAAAAATGATTCAATAAGAGAATTCGAATGCTTATTTAATCCTAATCTGAGAGACTATTAGGCCTAGGCCCTATATCCTCCCTACCTTAAGTATTATGTATGTAAAGTAGCTTTAGCCCACAGATATACATGTAGTAGAAGATGGATTCTACCTAATTTAATAACCAAGAATTTTACACCACACAGACATAACATAGCCTAGGTAGGCCTATCAGTTGTCTTTACTGTACCAAATATCTGTGGTTTGGACAAGAGGGCACTTCTGTTAACATCGCTGCAAGTGTAACACTTATTCAGCCCTACTGCAGCTTATACTATTGTATACAGTACCGGTATTATATTAATATTTACCACTTTTCATTTTGCTTTGCTGACTTGATAACTTAACTGCAAGTAAACATCGCTTTACTTATTAGTCGAGGTATGATTTTAATCGATATACTTGCATACTGTTTTAGGAATTAAATATTGCTAAGGCCCCCATAAAAAAAAATTAGTTTATCACCCTATGAAAGAATAAAAACTGATGAGGGAGGGAGATTTTTTTTTTTTTTTTTT